ACATTTCACTCAGCGCTTTCGTTCTAGTCCGCCTGACGACTTGTGGCGGATGCAGATCGGTTTCATGGACTACATGGATGCGATCACCGCCCAGAGTATGGAAGGCAATCCCCGCATGTCAAGTTACATGTGAAAATGGTGGGGTACATACCACAGGCAGGAGGGGGGTTCACTGACGCGGCGACGCGGCAAGGCGTGATGGTCACCTCCCCTGCCCCGGCAAAACCCACCCAGAAGCCCAAACTATTTGGGCCCAACATCAGGCCCGTGTCAATTAGTACTGTCCATGTCTAAAACTGTGGGAACCAAGATCCGCCCAGTTTGAGCCCTTGTCAGTTACAGGGCCGTGTTAATTATCACAGGGCCTACAACCCACAAACCAAGAACCAAGATTCCCAAAAGCGTTTGGGACGACTGTTGGTTTTGACGAGTGGGCTCCTGTTAGCACGGACATATGAACTGACACAGACCCGAAAAGTTATCTGGGCACCTTGGTTCTTGGTTACTGGCCTCCGTGTCAAGTAAAACCATCCGTGTAAATTCACACGGAAAGCACGGGCCCAAAAGGGGGAACCAAGCTTCAGCCTGACAGTTTTCTGGGAATCTTGGTGCTTGGCTCCTGGCCTCCATCCGTGTTAACAAGGGCGCAAGCATGAGAACGAAGACCCAGCACAACCCTTCCAAAAAGTATCGCCCTAAGGCCTAAGTTCTGGAGGCTCCTAGATTCCAACACCTCTAAACTTTGCTTTAGCCAATACGAATACCCTTTAGTCATTTCGGAAATCAAGAATGTCCGAAACTTATTCGAGATCTTGTTGAGGAAGAAATCCAAGAATTACGGCAGCGCATTGTTGCAGATTGTCAAGTTAGGCAACGTGGGACTTCGGGTGCCCAGAACTATGTAAGTCTTGCTAGCCTGGATATGTGTAGATCTTGCTTCTTCATCTTCTTCTCCGACAAACCGGACTTCAAACGATTGCATGTCATGGGTCACCCCAACCCCATGACAAACAACAGCTCGCGTGAACTACTGTCGAAAGTTGGTGCGGTCGACTAACTGTGTCCTTAATGTCATGGCATATAGGTGGCGTTTAAGCTATTGGTAGATATAATCATGAGGATAATTCGAAAGGTGTCAGAACAATAGAGATCATAGCATGCTAATAACGTCGGGTAGGTGGGTAGGTAAATTGAAGTAAGCCGCATGGGGAAAATGCGATGCAATATTGGGGTTATTGGAGAGAGTGGAAATGCACGACCTGAACGATTCGAGAAACATTGCAAACGTACCGGTGCATACAGCCACTACTGACAACGAGCAAGCACTGGAATTGAAGTCGTTGGCGCCTCTGGAAGCTCGAAAACATTGTAATGTGGCAAGGTAAACTCGAACGAAAGGGGAATCTCCGCTATGTAAGTGCGGATCTGGGAGATCTTGCAAAACAGCAATTACACTGCTGACCTGAACGATACGACCCAGATTTGCAACTGCAAGCCCATGTCTGCATAGCGGCACTACTGACAATGGACTAGTTGGCAGCGCTGATTTTCATACTGCTAGCATTTGTGCAAGTGCCCGGAAAACTCATCGTATGGAATTGCAATGTCCGCACGACCAGAAAGCATTTCTTTAATAAGTTTAGTAGCATGGGTCATGCTTGTGACGTTCTTGATAGGAAGCCAACATTAGTGGTTCGATATCCAGAAGTACTATGCCAGCAGTGAAAGAAGACTTAGCAGTCCGAGTCCCACATACGGCTCATACGACGAAACTGCGCTTGAGGCTCCCAAACCACCACAGAAAATGCAATCCAGAACGCTGCCGGGAACACGAGTCGCGTGACTAATGTCGGGATTAGTGAACGCGGTTTTTGGAGGTGAATGCTGTGACAGGAGAATGATTCCGGGAGGCGGAAGTGCTACCGATTTGGCTTCTGCGGCCTGAGACTGGCAGGTAGCATGCATATGTAATATGTATACAGACAGACAGACATACATACGTACATTTACTACATACATACACGCACACACACACACACATGGGAGTTTCCGAAAATAAGGGGTACCTTATTTTGGGGTCCTTACAATAAGGATCCTACTATTTAGGGTGCTGTATCAGAGTCCCCTATTTTCGGCAACCCCCACATATATATATATATATAGGGGCATACCTGTTATGCATTTTGCCAACCACTTCGCACTAGCATAGATCAAGGCACACTGGTGCTGAGATCGCTGCTGCTTCGCTCAATGAAAGCGATCGCCTGCAGCACACATAAGTCGATGACGGTCGATTTTTTGATGTTTCGTCCGAAATCTTGCAGACCTGTGGCATGAGGGGTGGAATGTGCATGTGTACATATCTAAGCAGTCTATACAGTCTTTCAGTAGTAGTAGTAGTAGTAGTAGTAGTTGTTGTTGTTGTTGTAGTTGTAGTTGTAGTTGTAGTTGTAGTTGTAGTTGAAGTTGTAGTTGTAGTTGTAGTTGTAGTTGTTGTAGTTGTTGTTGTAGTTGTTGTTGTTGTTGTTGTTGTTGCTGTTGTTGTTGTTGTTGTTGTTGTTATTGGTGTTGTTGTTATTGTTGTTGTCGTCGTCGTCTACTACTACCACGACGACGACTACGACTACTACTGCTACGACTACTGCGACTGCTACCGCTACTGCTGCTGCTGCTACTGCCACAGCTACAACCACTACTACCAGCTTGTCGAGCGAAAGACCACGAAAGAGGGAAGCAATTGCGGCACATGGACCAACTCTAGCTGAAAGAATACTGACTGAACAACGCTCACATGGATAAGTTGCCAGGTGGAGTGGCAACAGCTTGGATCTTTGTTTCGTTTAACGAGCTTGTAGCCGTGCGGAGCACGACGGTTCTCGGCGTAACATGTAGCTTCGCTTTGCGCGACTGGCTTGTGGAGGAGCCTCCAGCAATACATCAGAAGTGGACAAGATTCTGGACCAATGTGCTGCCTCAAAAGTCCATAGCCCAGATCGTTCTAGAGACGCGAAGACTTGGCAAAGCACTGGCTGTGACTTGATTGAAACTCAGGGCTGGCAGTACCAATCCTGGGTGCCTTGGTCGCGAATTGGAAATCGGCTCTTGTCGTGCCGTTTCAAGCAGCCAACTGTTCAGATCGTTTTGCATCCAAGGAATGGTCCCCACCTGCTGGCAATATCAGCATACCCGCTGAGGTAGTTGCTGTGCCACCAGTTCCTGTTGTTGCCCTGCATCATTTGGAGACATCCGTTGTGGTGCCGGATGTCGTCAAGCCAACTGACAACCTCATCGTCGCAGTGCCAGTAGACGCTTCGTCTTCGTCAGACTAAACAAGAATTTGTGCGGTTCCTCCGTCTCGTCTTTGTGAACGTCTCGAGGACAGCGAGTCCCACCAGCCGGCAAAAAATGAAATCAGTGGTGGTGCCCCCCGCGAAGCTCTCCAGCCAAACGAAACTGCTCTGGACATGGAGCTTGACAATTGCTTGACGCAGACACGCGCGGTTTGCTGTTTGCACTGCGAACAGAAGGATCTCGATGTGGAGACGGTCAGCAGTGCTATCAAGGACAAATCATGCACAGGAGAGTTGATTATCGTGCTATTGATGTCTCTGCCAGGACATCGCTGCGTTGCCAGATTTACAGCCAACAGATCAGGCGTGAGAGCTGCTCAAGTCGACTGCATGGCTTGCATTACTTAGGCAGAAGCTGTCTAGGGAGAAGTAAAGCCATAGATGCCCCGACAGGCACCCAAAGTCGCAGAGAGCCAGGACACCCGCACAATTTCTTGCAGGTTGTTAAGCCAATCCACAAGTTGGGCATGCGAGAGATTGAGAGAGGAGAAACAAGCTCAGGGTATGGATGCGCCTGGGCCGAAGCATCACCCGATCTTCTTGAAAACGAATTAACCACTGAAGATCCTTTGCCCATGTGTTTATTCATGCAGAGGAAGCAGTGTCAGAACTGATTGATGTTGTTGTGCAATTCAGCTCGTCATGCCTGCGTGTAGATGCGGCATTCGGCAGAGCGGCGAAAGTTGGAGTTGGAGTTGGCACCGCCAACAGGAGGCCAACTCTCCGTCAGCACGCTTGCCCAGAGACGTTTCAACTTTTGTAGAAGTTTCTGAAGCGGCGCCTAGGTTTTTTTGGTAACCTGAGCAAGCCTGTGCTAAGATGCATCGTTCACTCCTAAGGAATTGGATCGAGCTGCTGCAGAATTAGCTGCAGCCGAGCGGGCTGTCTCTTTGCTGCCAAGCTCTGGCCAGACTCCGGCGATTGATGCGTCTTGGGCATGATGCGAATGCAAGATTCGCGAAAGCGCACGCGCTGGCCTCTCCAGGCTGTGTGAGCCGAGGCCAGCGCTCAAAAGCTTGTTCAGTCGGCTCGGCCCCCAGTCGACGACGCAAGTCCAAGCGTTACGTGCCTCCTTGCCGACTACCCAGGACCCCGTTGCTGCAGTGGAAGTCAACGCGAGTGTCGTTCCGAATGTGCCCGTCGGTTGGACAAAGGCACAGCAAGGTCCACAGGACAGTGATCGGGGAGCAGGTTCCCGGCAACATGATCTGCAGGGTAAAATCCACGAAGAAACCATGGCATCACCATTGTCCGCGCCATCAAGTGCATTTGCTCCTGATGCTCACCTTCCAGGCAAATCAAGCTTGCAAAAACGCCAGATTATGCGGGCGTCTGGCGATACTCGACATGCTCTGCAGGATGAGCACAGAAGTCTTTCAGAGAATAATGCCGGCCGGAGACATGCGCGGGACGACGAGCTGTTTCGCGAGTCGGTTCGCAAGCTCAATGCTCTGCAACAAGGGGGCTGAAGCCGTCAGCAGCATCTTGGGGCATTGAAAGCAGAGCGTTTATTGCCACGCTGAGTGAACAAAAGTCTGCACAGCTCGACGTAAAGCTGCTTCGTCCGTTGATGAAGGCATGCTGTGTCAGTTTCAAACTTTGCAGTCCACGTATGTCCACGTAGTCCATGTTGCCATTCTCAGAATTGAGGAGACCGGCACTCGTGGCTGGCGCCTGTGCAGTGTTGACACCAACCGGCACGAATCTTATATCACTTCAACATCGCCTGATGCGCAAATGCAGAAGTATTGACGGACCATTCAGGTAGATGGGCTTTCGTGGCCACCGGTCCAGCTGTTGAGGCTCTGCTGCTTTCTTCCGCTTTGACCGCTGAGCTGTCCGAAGAACGCAGTCTGAACGCCCTTCCAGCCGTAACGGACGGATCTTGTGTACGCGTTGTGTCGTTCACGCTACAGTCCCAGCCGCAAGCTGGATTCGAACAACTTTCGGGTCAACGAGGAGGGGCGGTGGCGGCAGCTGTAGCATAGAAGAGGGGTCGTAAGTACAGTGAAGCTGGGGGAAGACATCCGAGAAGAGGAGGACTCGGCAAAGATGTTCTACCGTTTGCCGACCGCACCTCGCACAGCCTAGCTATCAGCCCCACATACTGTGCGGTGTCTACCGTCCTCGGAGCTACTGTGAGGTCCGCCCGTCTGTCTGCGTATCCACAGTCTACTCCTTTTTCCATTTTTAATTTTAGGCTCCGACTCGCCGGCTTTGGACGGCTAGTGCTTTTGCAACTGTTGCACGTCGAAAGCGCATCGACTCGACGCGCTTCGTTTTGCATTTCCGTTATGCAGTCTGTGGGCGTGAAATCAGCAAGTCCACGGTTCCTTGCGGTTCGGTTTGTAATGAGTTGAGCCGTTTGTGAAGCGGATGCTTACATGTAAATCCTGGAAGGCTCCGAGACATTTGCGAGCAAGGCCTGCCGAGCACAGAAAACTTGAGATTTTCAAGTCGACTAGGTCCGCTGATAGGTGCGGGAGAGCTACTGCTCTTCGTTGTCCTACGACTGCTGTGAAGGCCGCTTGCAAGCGTCTCCACAGTGCCAACGAGCAGATGCAGCGCCTGCAGGCAGGGCAGGGCAGGGCAGGGCAGGGCAGGGCAGGGCGTGGCAGCAACTTCTGCGAGAAGAGTGTGGGAAGCAAGCCTGGCTCGAAGGAATGTGCAGGACGGGTCCAAGACCACTCATCGAGAGGCTTCATGTCCTGTGTGTCTCGCAGTGCCACTATGTCCTGCACATGTGCTTAAACATATCTGACAGATTCCATGCTTCAGGTGGGTCCAGAGACTGCTTCAGGCCGACATGCATCACCTAAGTACTGTTTCCAGCACGTGCTCTGCAATACAAGCGTCTCGAGGTGCATTTTCGATCAAGGGCTCTGCCTTGGGTGCAGCCTTGGCCTAAAGGAACACCCGTGGGCATTCCTTCAGATCCGATTGTTTGAGCTCGCCCAAGGCAGCAATTCTTGGTGTGCGTCGAGTCTTGGGACACCGGTGCAGGCAGCCGGTTCAGCGTGCACAGCTGGGCTCCAAGTTTGACACATTACGACGTCTTGCAACCCAAGAGTGCGCAAGTGTATATTGTATATTGACGCTGCCGCGAGATTCTAAGGTCTCCGTTCGCAGAGATTGCTTTCGCTGCTGCCCTCTATGGAACTGTGCGTGCGGCTGTATTCCTGGCAAAAGTTGCTGATGTACGTACTATCTTCTGAAGGAAAGGTTGCCGCCGCATTGCATATTCTAGATGTTCTTTCCTGGAAGATCGTGGAAGAGACATGCTTAAAGTATAAGCTTGACTTGAGAGTGGCAGACCAGGAAATGGTTGCTGTGTCCTTGCTGTGCTCTGTTATGCTGCCACTAACAGCATCACCTATGAGACCCAGAAAGGTATTGCTTTCTTTTATGACTGAGAGTTTGAAGCAGTAAGTACTGTACGGCAGCAACGTAAAAATGATAAGTGCTTGTACCCATCTCCATCCAGTAGCATCCATAGCGCAATGTAAGGCATTTGCTGTCATGCGTGCGATCAGACCTCCCAGCTGGCAAGTTGAATCTGCAGCCAAAGAAAGGGCGGCAAAAAATAGGTGCTTACGTAATTTGGTGTGACTTGGTGGGCGCTGCGCATTCGCGAATCCAGAGTTTCGAGCCAGGCGCATGCATGGGCCAAGACCTCGGATCCGAGCTGCTCGCAAGCCAGCTATTCGTTCGGACCGCTGGTGTTTTTTTTTTGCATTCACTTCTTTACGAGGAGTTGTCACTTGCCAGGAGGGTCCCGTGAGCTGAGAAGTCTCGCAGCTGGCAGTTCCACAGGTGTCGGCGACCGACAGCTTCGCTTTGCGTGACGAGCTCTTTCAGGAGCAGAGCTGAAACTACAAGCTAAGCTAAGTAGCACTTTCATCCGGCCCCGGGCTTCAGTGCCAAAATGAGTGACGGATCGGTGGGCAGGACATGGCAGTGGCCCACACATATAAAAACTCCATTCGGCCATGGATTCAGTCACGGCCTTGACTTGTCTATCCGCAGTCTTTCCTTCTCTGACCCCATGTAGCGTACCGTTGGCAGGTCGGGAGTCATTGCTCTGATCTCGAGCATCTTCGTAGTTTTCGCGGTCAAGGCAGCGCCTCATCCGAATTCCGGGCAGTAGATGTTCTCAACTACCCGCACAGGAGTTTATCAAGTCGATGAAAGAGTGGGAACAGCAGCAGGAAGTGAAAGAGATGTCCGCGATGGGAGAGGCATCCTCGGATTAGCAAGATTGCAGATCAGAAGCGGAGCAGAGCTTTGGATGAGGACGCCCTGTTCCTGATGTCCACTCCGGTCGATGCGACACCGCTCGAAAAAAAGAAAGACAGGATGAGGAGAGGCTCAAGACTCGCCAACTCTTGGTACCTGTGCGTCCGTGAGAGGAAGCGCCTGACGCCGCTGCCAATGCGGCTTCTCGGAGGCCACCAGGGCACCAAAGGTGCGTCTGATCGCAGCAGCGATCTGAAGTGCCAGAGCCTGAAGGTCTTCTGGACAAAGTATGGCTACTGCGTGTTGGTGCATGCGTTGGGTGCGACCCGAACATATAGATGTGGCTCTCGCTTGGAGGAAGGGATTTGCAAGGCTTGTCTCAAGACTATTTGGTCGACCAGGTACCTGCTTCCGTTCCTCAATGTGGCCGCCTTGGGACGGAAGTAACTGAAGCACATGCCTGCATTCTGGAAGTACTGTTGCCAGGCTTTGGACTTCGGAGAGATCTCAATCTCTCTTTATCCGCCTTGCCCCAAGATGGATGAAAGCCCGGGGCTAATGGCATGCAGCACGGCTGTTCTAGCTGCTAGCTGCACAAGGTATGCTGTGGGAGTCCCACCCTGTGAGCCAATCGTCAACTTTATGCAGCACACCCTCAAAATGTGCGAATCCTACATGGGTCTCAAAAACACTGAGCACGCAGTTGTCAAGATGGCATTTGCAAGCCTCAGCAGCGCCTCTCAAGCCGCTTGGCCCAGGCGCTATCTATACAATGCCTACTTGAAGCAGCTTGGCCTTGATGTTGACACAGGGTCCGATGTATAGCCGTGACTCAGAACAGGCTGTCAAGCTATCATTTAGGCAGACGAGGGGACTCGTTACAGTAGACTCATACGTCCTGAACGAGAAGTCGAGCGCTGCATAGGAGAGTGGTCACGGCGACCTCATCCCCATGCTGCGAAGAAAAGAAAGCGCATACCACATGTCATATACCACCATTCTTGTCATTAGATGTCCTGGGGCTGGTCCATCCCGGCAGGGCTACTGGATGCATCCCCTTACGGGCGCTGCTGGGAGAAAGGTGGTAGGTTCCAGGATGTTGAGTTTTCTTGGGAGGGAGGTGTTACGAGGCAAGGGCCTTGCTTGCTCACGTGTCATCACAACCAAGCCGGCAGATCCTGCAGCATCGTTTTTTGTGTGCTCGTGCTTGTATATTCCTGTATAGACATGTCTGGCGGGAAGCATGCTGATGACAGGCACGAGCGTCGGTCAGCAAGGGGCCTGGACCAAAGGAAGGGCTCACGCACAACATGACAACATACAGGTGAACGGAAGTGGCAACCCGGAGGAAAGATCACTGCCGAGTTAATTGGTGTGAAGCAAAGGAGCAGCAAACTGCTTCCGACCTCCTGCTGACGTTCGGAACAGAGCACGACAAACAAGTCGATGCATCACACGGAAGTAACGGCATGAATCTACGCGAAATACTCTGCGCATGAGAAAACTGCATGCATCCCCAGGAGGACATACGCTAGTGGAAGACCGCACCACAAATCAAAAAGATGGACGAAGAGAACCAAAAAACAGATGCCATCATTCAGAAGGATAGCCGTCCGGGAGTTGGAACCGCGATGTAGGGATGCGGGAGGAAACTCCATGACACGAACACGAGGTAAACAACTAGACTCGTGCGCCATTGTCAGTCGGCAATCTGGAAATCTGAGTCAGGGGCCCACGAGAAGCTCGCCGCCGAAGAACTAGCGTAAAGGTGCTGTTGTGTGTTTGGGTGCAGGTGGGCACGGCCACCTTTGTGGCTCTTGTTGTCAGGTTTTCTGACCCAAGATATCCAGTTGTGGGGCACTAGAGTAAGGCTACCCAGAGTCAACAAAGATGCACATGAAAGTGATCCGCAACTAAACTAAAGTCTCAGACGACTGTTGATTTGCGCCTCGACGATGCATCCCTGAACGATGCTTTCTGGAGCAGGTCAGGATACTACTTCCTCATCGTATGGTTCCTCTTTATTCAGCTAGCCGTGAGAAACAAGGCGACAGGATGTGCCCACAACCGCTGAGTTTGCACGGCTCTCTGATAGCGCAGGCTGCCCCCTTCTACGTGCGCTTCCACTCCTCGCAGGCGCTGACGTTTGCCTATAATTGAAGGAGTCTCTCGTTCTTCGTCGCCTCTTCGAGGCGATTTTGATCTCCATGCTCTTGGGAGTCCCGCAGCAGGCGCTCAGCACAGCACTGCAGCAGCATGGCAGCTGTGACGTAGCACCATCATACTCAAGACCTTGACCCTGAAGCCTGTCATGTTCTGCAAACATTTGCAAACTCCGTAAAAGAAGCGGCAATCAGCTGGCTCAGGTGTTCTTTGCTGTGCTAAATCCATGGGAGTCCGGCCTTTGGGTACAGACTTTCATGTGCCCTGCCGCAGCCCGTGCATGATGCAGTACAGCAACTGTCGGGAGCAGTGTCCAGGTACCACAGCATGGTGTCAATCTTTCTCTTCATCGTGTGCCTCCTTCTGTGGTGTTGTGCAGCGCCAAGGGTTGAATGTGCAAAGCCGAATGCAGAGAGTCTGTTGTTGTATCTTGCCGGCAACTGGCGCCGAGGTTTAAATGCTTTGATGAAGCGTCAAATGGCCATGCCGTTGGTTTCAGAGGCCTGTGTGAGGAAGCGTGGCATGGCTCCAAACTGTGCAGATTTTGGGACTGTTTCGAGGCTGCCGTGATGTGGGCGGGAAAAGAGTGAGAATGGCTGAGCCGTGTGTAGACATGAAGGCACAGACATGAGCTGAAGCCAAGCAGCGCACGAACCCTAAGATCTTCACTTAGCGTCAGACAAGAGCCAGTGCGTTGTAGCCCGGGCCACCCAACCGCATGAAAGCTGATGTGAGCCGATGCTGCCGTCGCGGCGAAGCGTTTCTCCCAATGTGCGCCTGGACTGACAAATCTGTTTGGGTGTAGGGGCGCGGACCCCTCCGAACTGGTGCGCAGCAACTGATGCCGGGACATAGGTCCTGCATGCCCCAACTTCGTTGTGGTAGTACGCAAAGCTGCGCAGCTGGTACAAGACTTCGGTACCCTGTGAAAAAGTGCCTTCCGCATGTTCAGTGTAGGTGGCCGAATCGCAATGCACTGAGTCGAGTCAGCCAGGTTCGAACAGTTAAGCAAAATTATATAGTTCCACGTCATTCAATGGGCAAGGGTGCACTCAGCACGAACGATAAAGGATGGATGAAAAGCAGCGCGATCTTGATGAGGATGCAATCCAAGAAGCCATCCTTCAATTTATGTATTGCAGGTTTGTTGAGGCGGGCCTACAGTCAAGACAGCCTAGTGCCTAGGCAAGCCTCATAAACCTGTGGTAGCGCGGCAAGAAGAGGTCAACAGCAAATCGGGACCCAGAAGCCCCAAAGCCCGAACTGAAGCCCGAACTCTGCCGAACAACTCCTCGGTTTGGGCGCGCCCTGACCAAGCAACTCCTTTGCCAGGTTCATGCCCCCGACTGTGAAGGTCGGACCATGGGAATCACAGGCCGTCAGAAAGCCGAACCACGGGCGGCCAGCAGAGAAAGCAAGACGGAAAACGAAATAAAGCAGAGGGTGGAGTTGCGATACCGTGCGGGCTCCCGCTAATGGCAAAGCAAGACGCAGGTGATCCGTCCGACACCCAAAGACTTTCAATCTCGACAAGACGATTGACTCTCACTGCCCCTGGTAGCTAGTTCAACAGCAGGGCCTGCCCCAGGCGTGTGACGACCTCTGGCTGGTGAACAATCGGACTTTGCCTTAAACAAGCGTAAGAGTATCAAAGGCAATAGCCGATATCAGCCGATCAATAACAACAGCATCGCCACGAACGCTCGGCTAACCCCCGCCACACTCTTTCTCTTTATAGAATGTCCGTGCATTGTAGACATACTATCTATATCCATATCCATATCTATATCTATATATATATTTACATTTATATTTATTTATTTATTTATTTATGTGCGTGTGCTACTACTACTACGACTACTACAGCTACTGCTACTGCTACTACTACTACTAATACTACTACTACTACTAACCATTTTGATTAATAACTGTTAGGCTTTGGCCTGTATCCAGTTACAGTGCTACCACCTTACCTTTGATGCTCAGCTAAAGTGCCTTCAGCCAATTTACATCCCATGCTAAACTTAAACTCTATTCATTGTATTCAGATGGAACTAAGTAAACAACACTAATACACTCATTCACTTACATTATTCTATTTCGTAGCACATTTTGATAGTGCACACTGAAATAATGAAATTTCACATTTGTTACCCGAAACCTCAAATAGTTAGTGAGACTGACAGCCAATTCAAAACACATTTCTCTACCATCTCTGATAAACACTTACAAACAGCGGTAGTAGTTGTACGTGTTGTACAGTTTGAACTGTTTGAACTGACAATTAGACCAATTTCACTTTAGGAATTTAGAAACGTCAAAACAGCTAAATGCCTACAAGTTACCTTTGAAACGAAAACAGACGTCATTGCTACTTGTGATAAATGTCATGATTTAGTCTCCCTATTCACCACCAGGTGAGCAAACTGCTTCCCCCTATGTACTGCAGCCATGCAAAGTTTTCGAAGCCAGATAGTGGGTCCATGAATAAGAATTTACAACGAAGCCAACTTTGAGAGAGGTAGAACAGAACTCCTTCGTAAATTGAACAGCTAACAGGTCGCGATACTCTCACGAGAAGACATTCTGCACCGTGCGGGTGCCGCACGGGTCACTCAGCCAATTCCCTTTGGAAGCCTCCCAAAAGTTTTTCTTTTGGGACAGTACAGCTTGTTTGTTAGTTTTCTGCAAAAGTGTTGTACTGTCCAAAAACACATTTTTTGGTGCCAAACTGCTGCACTGTCAAAAAAATGAACAAAGCAAAACCATCTTTTCAGCTTCTGGCACCTCGTGGGGCAAGGTGTCCATTGGTTTCCCCACCCTCGGTGTGGGGTTGTTAGCTTTTAAAGTCAGGTCTTTCTACTATTACTCCCGCCCGCTTCTCGCCCGCTGAGACTGCCTCCAGAGACTGCCTGGAGTGCCCACCCCCAGAGACTAATGTGAGACCCTGGAGTGCCCAACCAGCCTTGAAGGGTCCGAGCCGACGACTTTTGGGGCTTTATGGGGGTTCTAACTAATGTGCATTAGGAGTTAGGGTCGGGTTTGTTTTGATACCTAGAAGGTCCAAGTTTTTCGGTGCGTTTGTGCTAGGATATTTATGGGTTTGACACGGGTTGCCCCTAATCGTAGTGCAGTCTTGACCCTTTGAGATTCCTCTTCGGGCTTATCCTGGGCCAAATGCTCTCCGGGAATCAGGTGTTATCTGTTGATGTTTGGCGCGGGCTTAGTAATCGGAGGAGGTGATTACATTCATGTAATTTCAGCTGAATGACGTTCTGTTTGCAGAACCTCTGGCCTTCTTGAAGCAGTGCCGAGCATGAGTCTTTACGTGGGCAACAGGACCGACTCACGGACCCCAGGCGCAAGCCTCACTCTCTCTGTCTAACGAGCGAGCCAGGTTCAACAACCGCAGACATGAGGCTCTGTAAACGTGAGCTAGCATACATAGGTCTTCTCGATCAACTCCGAAGCCATCTTGCTTTTCCCAAAGCATTGTCGACCCGCAAAAACTGGAGGGGATGCAAATTGGAAGGGCTCCGAAAATGTCATGCATGCAGAGAGGGTTGAAAATGTGTTCACCCGACGGGCAAGAGCCTCTTCACGGACTCGACTGAAACGGCAGCTCTTCCCAACACATCTTTCTGCGATGAACTCTGAACATAAAGCGACAATATTGGATCGTATTTAGATGACGGAACTTGGTGGACAATTGGCCGAGCCGCCGAGCCGTGAGCCATGGCGAAGGTTTGCATGGCCTTTGTGGAAGCGCAGTGCTTTTTGCTCGGCATCTCCACGGCTTCCACGCGATGCCGGAGTCGAAGGCGGCTGCAATGGCCTGGGAGGCAGCGGCCATTGGAGGAAGCGCAGCCAGTGCCGGCTCTGTGGCTTTGGCGGTCGCCAGATTGCAGGACCCTGTAATGAAAGTTTTATACCAGGAAGTCGATGAGCTGGAAGCGCGCTTGGCATTGCACGGCGAGCGACAGGTTCGAGAGTGTCGAGTTGCAGTAAGATGCGAGGCTGATATTCTGAAAGTGTCACACGAAGCACATATGACGGAGGCGCAGGATGAGCTAAAATCTTTGCAAAGACAGGTTGCTGAGCGTGAACTTTCCCTCAAAAAGAACAGCCGGCGGTTGCTGGAGATGCAGCTGCAAATTGGGAAGAAGTACCATATTCCGAGCAAGCAAGAGAGGGTTGTTGCCGAACAGGAGCATGAAATGGCGTGCGCAGCAATAGTGCAGTCAGAGGTGGCTGCACAGGAGCAACATGAGGCAGAGTGTGCCATTTTGAAGCGAGAGCTGGATCAACACAACATGGTGCATCTGTCATGTGTTGCTCCAAATTTCGCGAGAAGTTGAAGCTGTGGAGTGCTGGTCGTTGCCATAACATAGACTGCTTCGCTTGCTTCGCAGCTCGGCTCGTCAGCATGGATGTAGCTCCGCACTTGCAGCTTTCTTGTAGTATCCCATCCCCATGTGTGGCGCCAACAAAGAGCAAGCGCGGAACCTGGCAGCAACAGCAGCAACAGCAGCGGCAATGCCGCAGTTGCGGTCTGATAACTTCAGCGGCAATTGCACACAGCCTGCACAGAACGACGAGAACGATGAGGAGATCGGGACGGCGCCGCGATGAGAAAAACGATGACCTGTCCCGGCGCAACCGGAAATTAGCCGTGCTGTCTGCCACGGCCTATGCAGGATTCATTGCATCTCCGTTCCAGTCTTGGATGGACAAGTTGCTTCGCGAGTATCCAGACGATTCCCGTTGTACCAGAATCAGTAACGGATTGGAGAAGTTGTTAGCATCACGTGGCTCGCTTGTAGAGGAGAAGCTTCTCGACTGGTTCAGCCGCGAACACTCGGACTGGAGCCTCCTTGACCTCAGTGGGGCTGTCTCGAAGAAGGCTGATGCTGGGCGACACGGAACGACGTGGTATCAGACATGCGCGAACGAAACAGTGGAGGCGTTAAAAGCCGCGGAGACCAGAGTGCTTTACCAAGCGCCCGTGTACGATTCCGGTCGGCGCTTCTTTGGGATAATCGATTTTCTGATACGGGGGGAGGAGGGAGACTATACTATATGGGATACGAAGCTCGCTACGCATCCAACGGCCTACCATGTCGCCCAGCTGATCGGGTATGCTACGGCACTTGAGTCGATGCTGGGTGACAGCAAGGTCCAGAAGGTTGGACTGGTACTGGGAGAAAATGCTGCCGAGCATGGTGCAGTCAGTGAAGTTAGCACAGATGGATTGAGAGCCTCTTTCAACGAATCCTGGAGGGCGTTTGAACAGTTCTACAAAGCCTTCGATCCCAACCACCCACCCGATCCAGCAGAAGAGCCACAGGCCAACATGACACGTTGGGCCCACGCAGCAAGAGACATCTTAGCCAGTAGAGATGACCCTGCTCTCATTGCCAACATAACTCGAGCTCAACGAGCAGCACTGAAAATAGCAGGTTTCGGGTCAATGACCAGTATCGCCAACATGCCATACACAGCTTTGCCCAACGTGTCGGCCGACACGCGCATCAAGCCTCACACCCTGGAGCGGCTTCGCTTGCAGGCTTCTCTACAATGTCGAACAAGGGACATGGATGGTAGAAATGATGCAGAGGCGGCAATACCTGCTTCCGAACTTTTGCCGAATGCTGAAATCGTTCTTGCATCGTTACCTGAGGATGACCCCGGAGATATTTTCCTCGATTTGGAAAGCTTGCCATGGCACAAGCCACCAGCTGCCTCCCAGTACTTGATCGGAGTTTGCACCCGACGTGGAAGCTACAGGAGTTGGTGGTCACAGACGCACGACGAGGAGCATCGAAACACGTGCTCCGTGCTCGATTTCATATTCAACCGCTTAGATACATTTCCGAGGATGCATGCATACTGTTATGGCCATTACGAAAGAAGCGCGTTCTCGCGCCTGGCTGTCGGCCTTCCGCAGAAATACAAGGAATTGGTCAACACATTCATCGAGACAATCCTGGTCGACCTTTATCCCATTGTCAAGGGCTCAATAGTGCTGGGGCTGCCGGGATACGGCCTTAAGCAGGTGGAGAAGATGTACCGGAAGCTTTGAAGCCTCAGTTGGAATGACAGTTTCAGTATTCTAGGGCTCGTATGAGAGGACACTGGCTAGGTTGGGTTTCCAGAGAGAATGGTGTAAGGACGACGAGGACAAATGCAGTGGCCGCGGCTGAAGACTCAATGATTGCGTACATGCACTGGCTTGATGCGCCTGATGGTGACACTTGCGCTTCATCCCCAACGCTGCGCCCCGTGGCATATCATAGGTTTCTATCCTTTCGAGGTGCCGTTTTCGCCGTTTGAAAAGGGAAATGCAGGGAGATGCCATGTAAGGTCAGATTCGCGACTACAACTGCGAGGATTGCAGATCCACTCGACAGCTCTTGACCTGGCCACTTGCCCGCACTCCAGCACCCGGGTTCCCTAAGTCTCACGACGAATACTCTAATAAGTATACGTTTCTGCTCCTTGCAGTGCGGTAGCTGTAGCATTGTGCCTATGTCCGTCTGGACGGTATCAGCAAACCGGTGAAGCCCATGCGAATTTATTTGTTGCACTTGTGTTTGAGCTGCTTCTTGCCTCTTCAAGCTGATCGGCAAGGATTCGTGAGAGATGTGTCGCTTGGCAGCTCGAGAAAGGGTTTCTGCTGACGGTGGCTATGCAGCAAGCGGGGTTCTTCACGCTCACCTCAGGCCGGTGTGCCGGTTTCACGAGATGCCCGACCAAAGCACAGCAGCCGGAGCAGCTTGATTGCGAGCGTTTGGTGCACATGCGCATAGCAAACGTCTCCTCCACACATGCCTTGAAGTCCGACGAGGGAGCAGTATGTTCATGAGTCCTCGCGTCAGGTTCTCGCAAGTCGGAAAAGAAGACAGTCCAGGAAGAGATGAACAAAGCTGCAGTCCTTCGACTTGGTAGAATTGCAAGACAACTTTGTGGTGCTGTGCGACTATAAGTGTGACATTATGGGAAGGGGCTGTGTCGGTTTACATGTCGATGCTTCGTGTTGGTATAGGAAAGTCCGAGGCCGACTTCCGCAAAGTGGCAGCTGACAGATGTCGGCTCTGACTGCTGTGAGGGTGCCTTAGTGGTGCCAGTTGCCAGAGCATGGTCTGAAGTGTTTAAGAGTAGCCTTGAGTAACTTTGATCATGGCTCCCAGGCTAGGCGTTCCAAAATCACGTGCAGTGCGTCTGCCAAAGTGTCTACAGCATGTGTCAAGTCTTGCGTGGCCGTTGTCTTGCCATGCCAGGCGCATTCAGAACTGCAGCAAAGCTCGTGACCCGGAACTGCTGCCTTGGGAAGGTCTTTGCCGTTGCCGGCAGCCTCTTGAGGTTTGGCTGAAGCTGGCCAGAAGCAGCTAAAACTTTTCCAAGAAGCCCAGGCGACACTCGGCCAGCCTGACAGGAATCATGCCGCATGGATGGTCGTCAGGATAAGTCGTCGCTTGAAGCTCTGGCTTGCGGACTCGCGCAACAGCAGGCCACACAGAATCCATCGCAGAACTCAAGACATCATTCATTCATGAAGCGATCAGTGCCCTTCTTCGTCCAGCACGTCCAAGGCTAGAGCTTTGCCGCGAGTGGACTGGGAACCTCGAGGCCGTGTGATCGCGAAGCTATGGAAACATTGACGCACGGACAATCCTGGACGCCTCCTTGCTTGAGCCCGCTGCAGTGGTAGAAACCTGGTAAGTGTTGTTGGTAATGGTGGTACTGGTGGCGCAAGCAGCAGTATTCGACACTGCTGGATCGGGACGGCAAACTAACAGCAAGAATTTGTAGCGTCGTAGCTTCCAGTGCTACGACTGCCCCAAGGAGCTGTTTCTACATGTCAAGTAAGCTTGTTCGCTTGTTACAACCTACTTGTCCGTTTTGTCCAAACTCCAGGCTCAGCATCACCGCCACGAATACTATCGGCAGCGGTATGTTTAGTTCTTTCGGATGTAACATTCTGCAGGATGCAAAAATGGCAACATGTCAACGTCTGTCCTGGACCTGTGAGATACCAGTGCCATCCAGTGCCTTATTGCTAGTTCGCAGTGTGGCCTACTGCCGTCGATGACCTTCACGGTGTTGTTTGTTTTTCTTTCGTTCCCTCAGCCTTTCGCGACCGTATTACGATGGCATCGACATCGACCCATCACTTTGCTCCATGTCGGGCGTGCTTAGGCTTAGACCAATCTACCGAACCCTTTGGCTTTCGCGATGGAGCGGTACCAGTTACCACAGCTTCGGACGCAGGGGTTGCTGTAGTCTGGTCGGCCTCTTCCGCTCGATTTCGGCGTTTGGGTGTCAACTTGAGAAAGCGCAACCTTTGCCTCGCGCAGCAGTCGGATGGGATTGCATGGGCACAAGTACGATCTTATCAACATAAAGCGGTGCGGTGGGAACCCTTGTCCACGGCTTCCGCCGTGGCGCTGTGCACGCTCGACCCAAATCGCAGCATTTCCGCTGCCGATGCATCCTCCTGAACGCGATCCAGTGTAGCCTTTCATATAGATTAGCTTCACTTTGCTCTCGATATAGACGGGAAGGTTTAAAGTTCTGGCAGGGCCCACGCTCTTCGTCCATTTCGGGATCGTCCGCGCGGAGGAACATTTTGGGTTGGTGCCCTCGAACCCCGAAGGGCTGCAAAATGCAAAATCCTGACAGGGCCACACTACGGGCGTGGTCTCGTCCGTGTGGACTCCAAGCCCCTCCCGTACATGGAGCGGACATGGGGGGGCCAATTGAAATCGTTTGAGGCTGCTGGCTTCCGCTCCGCTTCCAGCTTCATGGTCCCTGGTCGTCGTGGTCATTCCGGCCATGGTCGTCGTACTGGCCACGGTCCTCGTGGTGCTTGCGGTCGCGGTGCTCCTGGTTGTGCTTGTCGTTGTCATCGTGGTCCTTGTCGTTTCTCACCCGTTCTCGAGCTGTCGCAAGATCAGCTCCTGCATGCGGCAATGTGCGAACAGCCTGCGTTGGGTTCACGAGTGAATCTTGCTGAACCAAAGCACACCGGACCTGGAAAAGCTGGCGGGCTAAATCCAGCTCCGACCAAATGTGGTTGCGACGGCTATGCCCACTAGATCTAGCTCCGCAATAACTTGAATGTAAAACCACTGTCCTGTGGTTGCCGCGATTCCGAGCGTGTGCCTGTACGCACATTCCAAAATGTTCATGTCGGGTGAAGTTCGCATGATGCATCTACATTTATGTTACCACGGGCTTAGCTGCAGCAAGGAATAGCAGGATCAGGAATTGGGCCCGAATGCTCAGTCAGGCCCAGCAGTCGTTCAGTCCTTTTGGTTCTACATCCTTCCCGACGATACACACATCTTTCGAATCTGCAACCGCCTTAAGATCGAGAGTCGACCCGGGTTTATTTTCAGAAACGACCGTGGGCCGTTATCAGCTTTCCTTGCTGCGTTGAAGTCACAAGAACTTCTGCATTTGATGCTCTGCATCCGTTCTGGCATGTATCATTTACCGGAACACTTCGAACGACGACAGATGACATGGTGTTTGCGCATGCATGTTTCCACATCACCGACTTTGCAGCAATGTGGCTCGCAGCCAGAAGGCCGCGAGGAAGAGAGCGAAAGAAAGAGAGAGAGAGACAGAGAGAGACTGTCTCTCTCTCTCTCTCTCTCCACGAAGCCCATAAGACATGGGTAGGCTTCTAGGCCGAGGGACTTCGGACGTCCGTCAAGCCCCAGAGAAAGAGCGGAGGGGAGCGAGAGTGGAGTGCACAGCCGGATCCCTTGACCAGGGCTCCCTGCCTACGGAGGATGGCCTTAGGGTCCGTAAGAAATGCATGATGCCGGGTGTATGTCGATTGCTAAGCCCTGCTTGCAATCGTTGTCGACTCGGAACAACTCTGCCCACACCAAAGAAAGAAAGCGTGCACGAGTCTCGCCGAAGAGTTTAATCGTCAAAGCCCATGAAGCTGATGCAGGCAGCCTTATCTTTCATGCAGTCGGCAGCAAGCACAAGTGTGGAGGAGCAGGAGATCTCAGACAGTCTCGCACATGCTTCTGACACGTTCCTGCTAGGTTGGGTTGAGATGGCCTGTAGCTTTGCTTCATCGGCAGACCTGCCAATGCTCAAAGGCTCCACCAGCTGGACCAGCAGAACGAGAGCTTGGTCCAGGATTTCACTCATAGCGCTTGGATCAGGGCCCGTGCCGGGATGAATATGGTGTGCGTCTGCAGTGCTTCCTGTGAGTCTGCACATCTTGCACAACGAAAGCACAACATTCCAGGACACTACGGTCAGTGTATCAACCTGCCACGCACACTCGCTCAAGGAGACACTCGGAAGTTGTGGTCGGAAACCGGGCATGCGACCATCATTGACTGTAATATGGTGCAAAGTGGAGGAGGAACGAGAACTGTCCTCTGAAGAGCTACAAGAGCTCCTGCAGGTAAGAGATTCTCGCAGCCTGCACCAGTTCGCCTGAAGATTGAGTGTGGCAAGCAGGCCGATAACACCCATGTCTTGGACAAGCAGCTTCAAGAAGCCGAACAATGTCGTATGAAGCTAGAGGCGGACTAGAGTTTGCGCAGAGTATTGGCAAGTTGTCACCGTTTGGCGAGGAAACCGTTGCAGCTCTGAGACACGATGCCTTGCAACTCCAGGCCTCAGTGGCTTTGCACAGGCCGCATCGATACGACATAAGTCAATATCTGCGGAGTTGCACGTGCTCGACCCAGCTCAGGGCCACGAAGGAGGTGCAAGACGAGCTCGCGTCCGCTGTAGAACAGAAGGTGCCGTGCTTTGTGCATTCTGCCGATTTCCAGCGTGGCCCACTCCTAGTGCGAAAATCGGTTGGTAATCAGGAAGCCACCACTCGCAGTGGAGACGAACTCTTGGCCGAGGCACGGCATGCGCAGCTACAGCCCGAGCACAAGCACACCATCGGCTTTGTAAAGTCGGAATATGCCTACAAATCACGTTGCCCTATATCCATGTTGGTGCTCACGCAAAATCCAAGTTTTCTGTACTGGTGTTGAATCGTAGCGTTTATGCAGACTAGAATGTATCAAAGTGACATAAGCCGACATTTGCAGTCTACATTTCTTTCAAGGCACACCGCTCAGACGTATTCTCCAATTAGTCTCCTAATGATCGGTGAGGTAGGCTTAGTATTACGAGGTCAGTCTTTTCGCTCGAAAGAACTGCCCATCTGTTTGATCCGTGGCCATTTTGGAGATCAGCCGATCGGCCAGAATTTTCGATCGTCGGCGTGGGAGGAAGATAGATCTTGCAGCAATGTCGTTCCCTGCTGCTGCTACTTACACCGGCCCAGCTCCTCCCCAGTTCGGGTTGCCGCGACGATTGCCGAGGGAGCAACTGGGGTCGACAGGAGCACGACGATCGTCGGCAGCGACGCATGTGTTGCAGCTCACAACCGGTTCGTGGTTCAGAAGCCCGAATTCGTCAAGCAGGTGGTGGCTGAGGAGGAGGCTGGAGGATGCTGCTGATCGACAACAGGGATGTGCGGGTGATCAGCCGCTTGGACGAGATCATGTCCAATGCGGCGAGCTCGATCAATATGCTGACAGAGCGTGATGAGGTTATGCCGAGTTATGCCGCCGAACTCCGGCTACCAGTTCTCGCTGCGCGCCAGCTATACTCTCGATATCTCTCGATGGCATCAAGGCGGTCTTCGTGTTCACCATGTCGTCGAGGACTGGAGGGCCATGTGCTCAGTGGGACTTGCATGCCAGTTCGGCGCTGTCCCACCCGGCTTTTGAGCCAACCGGATCGACTTGAAGTGCGGGCGAATGACCGTCCCCGGGACTTGGCTTTCGGTCCACCACATTTCTTGCCCAGCGTTGACTAACTCCATCCAGGCCTGTCGCCAACAGTCGGCTCCTCTTCAGCTTTCAAGCGGCCGGGGTGGTTAAATTTGGATTTCCGCTTTCAACCGCGAAATCACAACACATGGCTACGGTAGTAATAGAACTGGATTGAATTTAATTGGGTTTAAGAACGTACCCCACACAACACATGCCGACATATGTCGCACATATATGTCAATTGGAGCTTAAAAATTTGAAATTACACTGAATTGAAGTTAACTGGACAGCCAGCGAGGGCACAGAGCAGCTCCTCCAGTCGCTCAGCGTGACGCTGCAGCGCGGTTCTCCGCCGCCTGCCCGAGGCAGGCGAGGAGGGCCGCGGGCCCCTTTTGGAGCTGTGAGCGCGTCGTTGCCGTTTTGCTGCGCTCTCTGCTTCCGCTTCTTGCGCTCATGCTCACTTTTCCATCAGCCTTTCGCCCGACTGAGCCGGGGGGCGGTGCGGCCGCACCCCGTGGTGCCGGGGCTGTCTTCTTTCGCCTGACTGTGCCGGGGGGCGGCTCTGCCGCACCTTGGGCCGGGGCTGTCTTCCTTTCGCCTGACTGAGCCGGGGGGCGGTTCAGCCGCACCCTAGGCCGGGGCTTTCGAGAGCAGCAGCTGCAGCAGTAGCGGCAGCGGATCGGACTATTGCGCTCAAGTTAACTGAATTTAAGCCGGCCCCCACAACACATGCCGACATATGTCGCACATATGTCAACTGAATTTAACTGGTTTAAGTAAATTTAATTGAACTGAACTGATTGTTGGTGCGCGCCCCACACAACACATGCCGACATGTGTCGCACTCGCGCATATGTCAACTGAATTTAATTGGTTTTCATTGAATTTGTCATTGAATTTAAATGATTTTTAGCGCGCGCCCCACACAACACATGCCGACAAATGTCGCATATACGTCGACTGGAACATAACTGGTAATGTTTGAGTTTGATTAAAGTAAAGCGCACGCACCACGTAACACATGCCGACATATGCTGCAATATGCTGCACTCGCACATATGTCGAAACTTAGTTGGTCTCAGCGAAATTTAACGGAAGTTAATTAATCTCAAGCGCGCGCCCCGCGCAACACATGCCGGACATATGTCAATTGATCTTAAAGGTTTTCAAGAATAAGTGTGGTCGAATTTGATTGATTTTTATTTACTCGCGTACCCCACGCCACACCTGCCGACATATGTCGCAGACATCTGAGTTGGAACTTAATTAATGTTAATCAAGTTTAGTTCAGTTCAAGGGAACTTAGCACATGCCCCACGCAAAACATGCCGACACATGTCGCACATATGTCATTTGGAACTTATTTGTTTTAACTTGATGTAATGGGATTGAACTGAATTTAATCGCGTACCCCGCGCAACACATGCCGACGTTTGTCGCACATATGTCGATTGGAACACGGCCCCCACAACACATGCCGATATGTGTCGCACATATGTCGAGTGGAATTTAACCGGTTTTAAAAGAAAGCGCGCGCCCCACGTAACACATGCCCACATATGCGTCAATTGAATGTACGATAAGGTACGTTTTTGGTTAAATTTGATTGAATTTATTGGAATGTCGCACATATGTCAATTGGGTTTTAATTGGTGTTTAGCACATTCAACTGAATTTACTCTCCCACATAACACATGCCGACACATTGCCGCACATATACCAGTTGGAACTGAAATATACTTTTCATATATATATATATAATTTTTTTTGATTGCGCTTATTTCACTTTACAGTGGAATTCAAGCGTCCGCCCCACGCAACGCATGCCGACATATGTCGCACATATGTCAATTGGAACTTAATTGCAATGAAATTACATTTAACTGAAGTTAATTGAATTTAAGCACACGGCCCCCACGACACATGCCGACATATGCCGTACATATGTCAATTGGCGTGTAATGGGTTTTAATTAACCTTTAATTGAATTTAAGCACACAGCCCCACCCAACACATGCCGGGACATATGTCACACATATGGCAATTGGATGTTGATTGTTTTTAATTCAGTTTGATTGAATTCAATTGAATTTGTAGCACAGCCCTTAATCTCGCCGTATTAGTATGGGGCATGCTGCGCGCAAGGTATACAGCCAAGGTTTCATGGGTGGCTTGATTGTTTTACATGTGGGTGGGCGAGTCGCGTGTTTGAGTGTTTGCTCGGTCAGATTCGCCGATGGGAACATAAATTGCGGCCAGAGGACCCAGACAAGCGGGGGCAGCTCTTTCGCATTGTGACAGACACACAAAGGCTGTTGATACCCTTGGCTGCAGGACTCCGCTTTTCGTGATATGCGCCATCCGCCGTCATCACCCGCTCAGAAGGGAGAACAGAATCTCAGCTTGGAGTCCCTGGAGTCCCCGGCTCAGTATCCTTCCATGCATGAAGAGAGGTAACGGCTGCGGGAGTTGTGCCCCAGGCACGAAGTACAAGTTGCCGAAGAGGTGCGTTGTCTCGATTGCACTGCAAGTTGGTGACAGCAATGTCTTTGTCAGTTCGTGCGTGTCATGTTCCACCGCTGGTTGAGTGTATCAGCGACAAGCCATTCCGACGTTGACATGCAGACATCAGAAAGTCGTAGCTCACATGGAGTCAGGCGGTTGTAGCGATCAGAAAGTCGTAGCTCACATAGAGTCTGGCGGTTGTAGCGAGACTGAGTATCGTAAAGCAACAAAGCTTCCAGCAAGCAACGATTCGATTTGTGAAGAAGTTCGACTGACTGCCTGAGTGAGAAAGCAAAAACGAATGTGGCTTCTTTTAGATCTCGGGTGCAAAACTGACGTCGTTTGGGCCTGAGCCTGGCAGCAACTGACATTCGGCGCTGCTTCGGGTCCAAATTAGCATGTTGTTGGGCTCTTGGCAGCCAATCCACGCTTTTGTTGAAGCCCGGTCGCTCCAAGACATCCCGCACAAAGGCAGAAACATGTTCGGTCGTATCGTGATTTCTTGTTTTTCTTGTCGTGGTTCCAGTATGCTGTTCTTGCAAAAGTATTTAACGCCTTGCATCGCCTTACCCTCAAGCTGCGCGTTCAGGTGTAGTCGAGAACGACTGGTTCATGTGTCGTATATAGAAGCACCATGTCACGGCCTCGTCTTGCATTCGTTGTGAAATGGGTTGCCAATCAAGTGAAACTGTTGCAAGAGTTGCCCCGAATACTTATACGTTCAAACTATGTCACTACTTGCACCTTTGTCTGACCACCTGGACGATTGCTTCGTTCGAGCCTGCGGACGCATCCGGGGCACTTGAAGATCTGGTGCCGACTGTTCTGTCCAGGCATGCACGAAACCCCTTGCAGGTGCCTTGATTAGGACTCCCTGTCTGGCGACTGCTGCATTACCTCGGAATTCACGCGTGGCCACGCCACGTCATGCCACGTCGGGAGGGATAGGCTTTAAAAAAAACTAAATAGGCATCAAAAAAACTACGTGGGTATCCCGAGAGACTGACAGAAAGCCAGAAAGACAGAAACAGCAGAACGACAGAAAGAAAGACAGAAGGAACAAAGACAGGACGAAAGAAAGAAAGACAGAAGCAAAGAACGAATGAAAGAGAAAGAAAGAAATAAAGAAAGACAGACAGAAAGAAAGGAAGAAAGAAATAAGGAAGAAAGCAAGACATAAAGAAAGAATGCGGAAAGAGAAATAAACAAAGCAAAAAGAAAGGGGAGAAACAGAAAGAAAGAAAGAAAGAAAGACAGAACGAACGAAGGAAAGACAGAAGGGAAAAGGGAAGTGAAGAAAGACATGACATAAATCAAGAAAAACGAAACAAAACGACAAAGAGAAAGAGAGACATAAAGACAGACATGTAAGGAAGCACGAAATAGACTTGAAAGCAAGCGCCAACTAAACACAACGGAAGCAATAAAAAACAAACGCCAGCAAACAGCAAAATAACTAAGACAAAACACGCAAGTATAAAAAAGAGAGAAGAAGGAACAGCGAAAGGAAGCGCAAGAAAGAATGCCAGACAAGTCGAAAGGGAAGTAACAGCAACATCACCAGGAATAGTGTAGAAAAACCACGAAAGAAAAAAGACAAGAAAAAACAACTAGAACGTAAAAAATCAACAACGACAATGAAAGCAATAAAGCATCATCAAGCTCAGTGCCCTCAGCGACTGGCGAAAAGTCCGATGCGCCGCATATCCTAAGATGATCTGTTTAGTCTTAGTTTAGTGCTTCATTTTTTGATGCTTGTTTAAGTGCTTAGCTTTTCTTTGATGCTTATTTTAGTGCTCAAGTTTTTTTGATGCGTATTTTAGTGCTTCAGCTTTTTATGCGTATTTTAAGTTGTTTTTTGATTCTCCGGTCTAGTTATTTTGTGATGCCTATTTAGTTTTTTTTTGATGCCTCACCCCGTGAGGACCGTCAGCAGGCATTCGACACATGTCTTGTGGGTCCACAGTCCACTGGAGAGGCACTTCTGGAGGATCTCTCTGCCAAGCTTGCTGCCCGCGAGAAGCGGGTCGATGCCTCGGGAGGTCCCATGAGCAGATCTGGACATTCGTGTCTAGCTCAGAACGCTGGCCCTCTCTGTGCAAAGTGTGAGCTTCGTCGCAGATACAAGCAAGCCCCGGGTTGGAAACCCGTTTGATCAACAGGTGCACGAAGTCACTAAGTTATCCCTCCGACATGCACAGTAAACAGAGTTCTTCGGGTTCTTCGGCATGGTCGGAGCTACCCTTAAAACTCTTTGGAAGTTATAGTGCATCTAAGATCTGCATTTAGATCAACTTGAGGAGCTTTGAAGAAGCACGCACATGTACCTGGACATCTTCAGAGAGATCTTGCCAAGCCATGGACGGCGAGATCGGTTCAAGGATGGCGGAGGTATTCGTGATGAGCACTCGGCTCATAACTGTTGCACTCGATGTCGGATTTGCAGCGAACGCTGAAAGGCCCACAATTTCGCCGTGCATCCTTGTTTCAGACTCCCTTTACAGCAAGCTGGTGTTGTTCGGGGGTTTGAGAAAATAATTCGACTGTCCCTGTCGATACCATGTCGATCTTTTGGCTACAATTTGACGCTGCAGCACCTCACTCAGGCGAATTAGCTTGCATGCTGGTGGCACTGAAGCGTGGCGCATGCTTATCGAATTTCGGAAACCGGAAAGTGTGGGCGCGAGACTCGACACGGGACAAGGCACACTGTTGCGCTGTTTGCTTGTTTGTTGGATCTTAAACAGTCTACGCCGTCTACGCAGCTCAAGGCGCCCACAGCTTCAACCCAAGATACATGCTTTTTAGATTTTGTGCTGATGCTGCAATCTCGCCGTTCGTATGTAGACTCCGACACGTGTCTGACGTGTTACGGCCGAGCAGTACTCGTGCAACGGTGAGGGTAAGGCTGGAGTAGGACGGGGCTTAACGAGTGAACTCGTGGGAGGGCCCATTTCAGGTTCAGTTTCTGGCGAGCAGATGGCTTCACCGCCCGGGACTTGGCAGTGCTCTGCCGGGCTAGCCCAAATGAGATTTTCCCAGGTCGGCTCGGCTCGCCGGCAAAAACAAAATGAGCTTTCACGCACGGGTGCCTTCGGCTGTAGCAGCGGCATGCAGCGGCGGCATTGGGAGACAGATGAACATTGGATGGACTTTCTGCATCATTGTTACCTTGATGTTGTTGCCATGCATATCACTTTCGGCTTACCCGCAAAGTTTACAGCCCGCCATTTTAACGGGAGTTTTGGGAGGCCATTTGTGCCAGGCAGCGGGAAAATCGGAGAATGGTGCTTGTCTCAGAGACTTCGGATCTCTCACAAGATGTTCGAGGAAAGCTGTAGGCCTGTAGGCTCTGGGTATGTTGTGCCAAGGTCGATGCCACCGAGGCCTTGACAGCCGGTGGGATGCAAAAACTGAGATCATGCCAACGCCTTCTGCGCGAAAGGGAAGATTCCACGCCTGTCGTTTCTGCTCTTTCGACCACGCTGGTAGCAAATGCGCTACACTACCTCCTTCGATGCAACATCTCATTGAGACCTTTTCATGAGAGACCGCTGTGGGTGCTATGTCCAGGCGCTTTGCATGATGATTGTAATTCTGTGTCTCTTGATCATCTGTGGTGTTGTGAGAACTTTAGAGCAGAGCCTCGAGACATGTGCCGGCATGGCCGATCAGAACAGCAGGGCAAGCAACTTACAGGTAGGTCTCACGGAGTGGGAGGGTAAAACAAACTACTTGCACGTAGAAATGCGGCCGCATGAGCGGCCGCACGAGCGGCCGGCACTCAGGAACAGGGCTCCAGCAAGCAGCCAGGTTCGGTGTGAGCAGGGCAATCGAAGTGGCAATTGATTGCGAAATGTTGCAGAGCATCCGGTTGTAAACGAAGAGGGTTTACGGGGACATGATGAGAGGGCTATCAAGTCAGAAGAAGCTGTGTCTCCTCTTGCGTAAACCTCAATGTTCACACGCTGAGATGCTCATCCCTTTTGGGCAAGATTCATTCAAATTGGACACCTTCCCTGGTCACCGTTCCCATGCTGCTGACCCTTCATCGTCTCTCTCGTTTTCCTGTGTGTCTCTGCGCAGCAGTCCAGATTGATACTTCGAGCATCCTCGCTGTTCGCGGAGCTTTGCCCATCCGCCCGGCTGCGCCTTTTTTTGCGGGTATGTAGAAGTTACACCACTCGCAAAGGCAGAGGCCGCACAGTTGGATTTTGCCGGAAACAGTCAGAGACCCATCTGGACGATCCCCATATCCCAGTTTTTTGCACACCTTGCCTGCTCTTACAAAAGCGCTACCAGTGGTACCCTCCGTTCCGGTTTCTTGAGCAAGGGGCTCGTGTTGGAAAATGTTCGCAAGATCCTGGTTCCGGCATTATATTTATAATATCAGCTCTTAAAATAGAAAACTAACCCTGTCGAGACCAACGTCCCCTAAGCCGGGTTGGCCGAGTACCCTAAGAGGAGCGGGGTGGTGTGCAAGAGGTTTGCCGATTTTCTTAGCCCGACCTGGATTCCTCCGTCGTTGATGCGTCGCAGCGCAGGCACTTCAACGTGGAGTGCAGACATGGAATGCTGGAACAAACGTGGTGGCCGGCGGATACGGAGGTCTTCCCTCGCTGGTGGGTGCTGTGGTGCTGAGACTTTTGCTGCCGACGGTGACCGGAGGTCGATGCCTACAGGACGAGCAGGAGGAATTCTGGTCGGGTGAAAGCGAGACTGCGGAGGTATGCGGAGGTCGGACGGGAATGACTGCGAGTCGGCGTACAATCCTTCACAAAGCAGAAGCTCCTTCCTGCTCCACCTGCACTCGCCCCATAGTCACTGCGATATAGCGATGACGTCCCGCACTTCAGCTCGTGTAGTTGTCGAAAAACGCCACATCGAGTCTCGTGGAGGAAAGGCTTGGGCGTCCACTGCCAGCATGGACTCGCACAAGGCTTCACAGGGTGTTGCAGTCCGGCCAAAGTCTCCGACGGAGTGGTTGGGTTCCTTGCACCACGGAACATCGATAAGATTCGGTCCGTCCGAAGTTCCGTGTACATAACCTGTATACAACTTACACTTACACCTTCCAAAGCTCGCTGTTTCCCCAATGCCTCGGAAGTCGAAGGGCAGCACCAGCTGCCTGGGATTTCGCGGCAGACTGTGATTGGTACGTGTTGGCCTTGTCAGGTTTGCGCGTCCTCCAAGCTTGTTATGGGATGTGAGAGTCTGCTGTAGACGCGGGCAGTGCGGCCCGTGGCATGCTTGTTCGACTCCTTGACCAGCAGAGCCACCGGAGCACCGGCTTGGCTCCCAGCCACTTGTCAAATCAGATCCAGCCACCCAGGGATGACTCTGTGACTCGTACAAATGCCGAGGGAGAACATGCCTTTGGGAAGCATTCACTCAAAAAGCCATCTGCTTCAAATCTGTGTAGATTTTGGCCAGGGATTCGGACGCCATGGGCTGCCAAAGCGTTTCAAGCCACCGTGGCGACACCGCACATTCAAGTTCTTCGCCGCACAATGCCCAAAATCAGCTCTAAATTTGGACTATCTTCGAATTGGGTGGACAGATGGCGTGTGTGGGGTGGGGCATTCCGCCAGTACATGAAGCTGGGTTTGTTGCAGCTGGCAGACCGTCTGAGCTTGCCCGGGGAACATGGAATGGTTGCGGCCGGACAGGTGGAGGCGCTTGAAGCCCTAGTTACAAAGTTGAAGGAGGACAGCTCTTCGATATGTGCTTGTCACGATGCCGGCTGAGCCTGCCAGACCATCGAAGGATCCATCCTTGATTTATGATCCCAAGCTCGCATTCTTCAAGGACAGCTGCTTCTCACAAGAAGCCATCGAAGCAATTGAACTGACTAATTGGCCTGACAAACTTCGAGGAATTCGTTCTTAGCTGGGGCGCCAAGGCGGAAGCACGTTGCATCCAGTAGCATGGTTCTTGCAAGGTTTGACCAACCTGACTAGGCCCCATCGGGTAGCACCAATAGCACCAAACTTTGTGCCTCTATGTCAAGAATTGGAGCGATTCAGTTGTTCAGTTTGAAGAGGTGCCGGAAGCAAAGCCGAAGCCCAAGGAGGAGCCAAAGGTCCGGTTGATGGGCGGCTGATCTGTAACGAAGGAACTTGAACCGTCCATGCAGAATCCTGCAGGCCCCAGCGCCAGAGCCGGTGCGGGTCCCCATTCGTTTGTGGGGCTTTCTTTGCCACAGCCGGTGCGAGAGGCCAAGGAAGACGAGGAAGAGGAGACTTGGAGACACCTTGAAAGAGCCGAGTCAGCGTCAGCCCCGCCTTGATGCCCTCCGTCCCAGGATGAAGAGCCTGAAGAGCCTGAGGACCCCGACCCAGAACGCTTGGAGGAGGAGCGCAGCAAGTGACGGCTGCAGCTACGGCAGGGGCTTCCGGAACGTCCCCAGACTGAGCAAGACTTGGTGCACAACCCGTCCTTGCTGAAGTATGTGTGGTTCTCACTGTTACAGCGCTGGGTGCCCTCGTGTTGAATTCCCAGAATTGGCTTGAAGGCAGCTAGTTGCAACTGTGAATCGGCATATGGCCCAGGTATTGTATGAAGCTGAGCATCGGTGGTGATGTGTTACCGCAAGTTGCCTGGGGCAAAATTAGCGGTAGTGATGCTGGTCATGACAATGGGGTCGTGACGATGAGAAGAATAACTACCGTGATAATGACGATGGTCGTCATCATCAAAATCATGATCACTCGATGACGATCATGACGAACAGGGATGTGGCAAGTTCAGCAACAGGCTGAAGCTGCTATTCATGGAGCTTGCTGTGGCAAGAAAACCGATGTGGTGAAGCTTAGCTTTAGCCATGCGGCAGCTTTGACCATGCTCAGACCTGTGCAAATATCGCGTAGTAATAGTGAGGTGATGGGATCGCAAGTCGTCCCCCGGTCTCCAGGATCCAGAGCCATACCCTCCGCAAGGACCGTGCCGGTCTAAGTTTCACACAAAAAGATCGACCGGCCGGAACAGGCAGCATCTTGTATGCCAAAGGTCAGACAACCGCGAACTCAGCGACAGTGAGCTTGACAAGCAGGGTGAGTTGAAGCAGGCACATGTTGTCGCATGTCGTGCAGGTTAGAACGCAGGAGTGCTGGCTGCTGGCCTCGGTCACGGAACTCGTCACAACGCAGGCGGCTGCAGAGGCACAGGAGGACGGCAACCTCGCGAAGGCACTCGAGAAGTTGACCGAGGCGACCAGAGCGAACACGGACAATCTGGGGCATACGGGCCACACGGGAGCGGTGTGGATGCCAAGGCCTTCCAAATCGGAAACGTCTCTGCAATGATGCTACGAGACGCAGAGCAGTTCAGAATTTGTGATCATGTCATTCATGTAATTGCATCTGCTAGCATCTTCTCAACAAAACAGCCGAGGTTTGCAAAGCGAGCCGAGCTTCTGCTGAAGCTCAAGAGGCCATGTGCCTGCATAGCCTCGAACTTAAGAAGTGGAAGATCTATCTTTGTTAGCAGCAGCCTCCTGCTGCTTGGCACCGCGACACCAGGCTTGTCGGACGGATTGGCTCAGTAGCCATGAGTGCGTAGCTCGCCATGGGTCAGTGTGCTCCATTTCTTTGTAGCCCAAGTTTGGACAAGGGCGTGCCGAGCCTTGCATGAATTGCAGTGACATGCTGTCACAGAATGCTGGCAGCTGGATTCTTTACTGACGATCGCCCCAGTCAAAGCAGACAGGAGGAAGGAATGAACTTGCAGATAACACGGACGTATGTATAGCAGGAGTCAAAGGCCCTGATAAAAACTTGCAGTGCAGAGCATGTTGTGCTCTCACGCATCTTCTGTTGAATTGAACTGTTCCATTGCCCTGAGATCTTCTGAAATCCGAGCCTCGCCCGATAGTTGAAAACACGATTTCGGGGCTTCAACGGTGCAGCATGCTGAGGAACTACGATGCAGGGTCGCACATGGTGTCCAAGCAGCAGCTGGAGGAGGCGCTAGCGCGCTTCAACGAGGTCGGGGCAACGTCCGTTCAGCCACTTCAGCTCGAACAGAGACTTCGCTGTGTGTTATTTGGTCCTTCGGGCACCTGCACCTGACATGTCCGCAATGCCATTCCAAGGTCGTTGAGGCCTTCGTCTTTGGGGAGCGAAGCATGGAAGCACTCCTTCAGCATCGCTGCTGCCCTGCTTCGGGGCATCCATCAGCACGTTCCCAGGGTTGTGAGGACTCCGACTGCTGACTTCAAGCAGCTTTGAGTGACCACCCAACCAAACTTACACCTGCAAAACACGTTCCTGACAGGAGCGTCGAGTTTGCAGAGGGTGCAGACTGCAAGCCTCACTACTCCAAGTTGCCAAGTGGGGGCCGAGGGGTCGTGGCAACTGTTTGCGTCAAGCTCTCCCAGAAGGAGGCGAAGCATCGTGCAAGAGCAATCAATGTGCACATGCGCATGATGCGGGTTCTGTTGAGGCCTTGTGTCTGACTGCATCTTACCGAGGTTTATGGTGAGATTGCAACTAGATCACGAATCGGCGCTTACGTGCGACTGGGATCAGAGGTGATTTTCGCACATCATGAACCACCGACAGACCTCAGTACGAAGCCGCTTTTACTCGAAGTTTACGGATTCGATTTTCCAGTCCTGCCGGAGACCGTCAAGCTGCGGCGGCACCTGAAACAAGTTTTGGGTCAGGATTATTCGAGGAAATCAGCGGCCGCGTGGTACGAGAAGCACAAAGATGAATTCTGCCCGCTGAAGGATTCCAAGCTTCGCCGAATCCTTGCATCTGTCTTTGAAGTGTTCCTGAGACTTACTTGGCCCGCTTGCTTGGTGTTTTTGTTGGGATCGATGTTGCTTTTGGTATCTCAACCGGCAAATTTTACTTAATTCAGCTGCAAGGCCGCGTCGTAATTGCAAGCCAGTGCAGGCATTCCCTGATGTTCTTGCCGGAGTGGGCTGTGAGCCGTGCATTGTGGGGCATGCTCAACATTTGCACGCTCACGTGCCCTTGGCTGATGGTCCTGGAGGGATCACTTTACGTCGGGGGCATGCATGTCGTTTGTAGGAAGATTACATGAGACAAGCCTTTAGCAGTCCGGCTGCTGCCTCCGCAAGCGTGCAGGTACATCGGCTTCGAATTTTGGGACGAGGGGAAAAATGGCATCAGGGTTACGGTACAGTCCAGTACGCCCGCCGATCCAGATGACGTCGAATGCCTGCAGCTGCTTGGCTTGTTCGTTGAAATGCTCATCAAGTCAGAGTTCCCACAGAGTCTTTCGGAGCAGTTTCGTGTGCTTGCGAAGGCTAGTGTTTCTGCGCATGCCCTGTCGAAGGATCTGCCCCTTTCCAAACAACATAGAAAGCTACCCGAAACTTTCCAAGTTCGTATTGTCCCGCGATCAGACAGACTAGGCGACATGGGCTGCCAGCGCAGAATGCCACAGTAGGACTGGAATCAAAGAAGGCAAAGATTCGTGCCGCAAACATGACTCGGACCGCGATGCTGAAAAGCAAGTCTGCTTGTGAAAGGTAGTGGAGGCGAGGACAGCACACCGTGTACGAAGGGCCCTAGCAGGTAACTAGCAGCTAGTACAGCGCCAGTGTCAGCTGGATCTACTCATCCTGAGTTTGCCTGATTTACACTCGCAGGCTGAGAACTAATCTCATGCAAGTCGGCATAGTTGCCGGATCATCCCCACGAACATCCTCCACAGTATCATCGACACCCTTGTTGCTACAGTGGTTTCGTTTACATACTTGTTTTGGAATTGTTATGGTGTCGACGTAGTCGTAGTCGCAGTATTCGCAGTCGCCAGTAGTCATAGTCGTCGTCGCCGCATAGTCGTAGTATTCACAGTCGCCGTCGTAGTAGGAGCGGTAGTAGTAGTTGTAATAGTAGTAGTAGTAGTAGTAGTAGTAGCAGTAGTACTAGTACAAGTACGAGTACGTACTAGAAATAGTAGCAGTAGTAGTAGCAGT